CAGAAATCAACTACTTTTCCGGCTATTCGCCTGTCGGAAATTTAAACATATCTGTTGAACATCCAGAAAGAGCATGAAAAATAAAAATCCTCTGAAATAAAAATTGGAAATATCTCCCAAATCGGATGAAATGATATGATTTATATGAAAATATAACTCACCACCATGATCAGTTTTGAAATAAAAAAAAAATGCATAGAAGGAGTAAACTTGTATTAACTCTGATCTTGATGCAATTTGTACTTGAGAAAAAAAAACATTCGTATGTTTCGTTCAAAGTGTACTTCATTACATGGTTTTGTCTTCTATTTTCTGTGTTAGTATGTTACAATTTTCATACTGTGAATTTTGGTATATTATCATGCTTTCTGTGTTTTTTGACATGTTTGTCCATTCATATTTCCTTGTGAATATGTAAAATGGTAAACGAATAAAGTATCTATCTATCTATCTATCTATCAATCAGTGCTATGAGAATACTATCTCTCATAAGCAGGTTGAAGGATTTCACACGAATCAACTAATCAGGGATATCAAATTCTTTTCAGTAATCTGAAGTCCTGTTATTGTTCCAGCCATTTCTCATTATATAAAATTTTTTTATCTCCCTATGATATAAATGAAACTATAACGAACTGACATATAAGGATTTTGATTTGTTGACATATTCCTGTCATTTGGGTGCATTCGTTTTTGAATGTATGATCATTTTATACTCATTATACAGGACGAAGAAACGAATTCTGAATTGAAAGAACTCTATCGCGATTTAAGGTCTATGAAAATAACAAGTTCCAAGCTAATCAAGATCAGAGTTCATACAAGTATTCTTCTTCTATGCATTCCAATTTCCATTTCGATAACTATCATGTTGGTGAGTTAGATTTTCATATTTCGATGCGTCAGATTATATTATCCGATTGAGGGATCATAACAAATCTCAATTCCAATGGATTTTCAGTCTTCATGCACTCCTTTTGGATGTTCAACAGATATCATTCAATTCTCGACTTGACAAATAGCCAGGAAGTTGGTTGATTTCTTTCGAATATTCAGAATGATATTATGTGCATACACATATATTTTTTCATCGCTGGGAGCACACGAAAGGAAAACCCTATAATGTCCAAAGAACATCGTGCGTTCCTAGGGAGGATAGGGACAGGGGGTACCTAGGTATTGGAATTGTTTCTGATTTCCTGGGGGTTAATTGTTGTTGGGAATACTTCCTCAGGCAATGAATTCCAGAGCCTAGCCGTTTTATGGATAAAGGAGTTTCGATAAAGTGCTGTTCGACATCTTTCGAGGTTGACAACGAAAAGATCTGCTGACTGGGCTTGTCTAGTTCGTCTGACTGGTAGTGTTAGTGAAGGGATTATAGCAGAAATTCCCGAAAAACATTTCCCGAGGAAGTATCGATAGAAAAGTGAAGGGTCGCCAACCTTTCTACGGTGTTTCAATGATGTCAAAGAGTGAGTGAGAGTGGCGTCACCCACCAGGCGATTGGCTCTTCTCTGGATGTTATCTAAGAGCATCAGCGTATTATTGCGTATTATATAAAGGAGAATGCAAATTCTCTACTTCAAAAGATTTTGTTTTCAGATTATAATCGTCTGTATTCAATAGATTTGATTCGATGTTCGTTGTGGCATATAGCCAGGGACGTAGTTAATTTCTGTTGCATAAACCGAGAAAAAATTGATATTTTCATCACATAGAGAATCCAAATTCTCAATGTATTTCTCTATAAACAGGGTGTTTCAGATTTGAATGTACATACGATACCTGTAGATAGGGGACACTGTGATAATTACAAATCACCCCCCTTTGATGTGTCTACCGTTTATTGAAACTGAGATACAGGACGATATCTTGATTTTGGCAAAATCATCATCTGGTCATAACTTTTAAACCACCTTGTCTAATCTTTTCATACTTGGTAGAACTATTTCACTTATATTACCCATCAAAACTAATTGAAAATCCGGATCAGAATCCAGGTCCGTCTTGAGGAAAAACAGAAAACTTCTTTTATATCAAAAACAACACTCTGTATTGCAAATTTTTTTAGATCTGTTTCAATATTTGAAAAGAGCAGGAAAGAACGAATGAAGTGACCTACTTTTTATGACCGCGCATTTGATCTGACCGATGTTTTATTATTATTTTCTGATATACTCGGCTCCATTTCGAGTCATTCTTATTGAACTCGTAATTGAAAATCCAATTATTTCACAAAATAATTGATAGATCTGTTCGTTCGACAGAATAACGTCGGTGGTTTTAGAATTTTTGAGGGCTCGTTTTATTATTCAGTCTTGATTCATGAGCTGCGGTAAATCTATCAATAGTTCACCTGATTTGCTTCTAACGACGTTCAACTTTGAAGACGATTATTTTTTTATATCAGAATTGAATTTCGAATTACAGTTTAATAAAAATTCCTCGGAATGGGGTGAATATTTCAAAACATAATAATAAACCATCTGTCGAATTGAATGCGCTCGTGATGAGAAGGTTACTCTATCAAGTTTTTCCTGCTCTTTTGAAATATCAATCAATCAATCAATCAATCAATATCATTTATTGTATCTGAAGAATCATATTCTTATTACAAGGAAATTGGTGTGAGCCAAATTTATATTATATACAATCGAGACACTGTTAACAGAAGTATATAAAAGAGAAGAAAAAAAAAAAAACTGAGAACATTTCGAGTACAGTGCTATCCAAAGAAAACAAAAAAAAAAGAAATAAAATAATGAGACGCAAAAAGAGTAGATTACTCATTAATGATGAAAGATCGTAATTTCAAGATATTCATGATGGCATGAACCAGCCTTTTGAAATATCAAAACAGATCCACAAAAATTTGCCATACACAGTGTTGTTTTTGAAATAAACATGTTTTCTGTTTTTCCTCAAGACGGACCTGGATTCTGATCTCAATTCTCATTTATTTTTGATGTGTTATATTAGTGCAATATTTCTAACAAGTATGAATAGATTGAACAAAGTGGTTCGAAAATTATGAGTAGATGAAGATTTTGCCAAAATCAAGATAACGTCCTGTATCTCAGTTATAAAAGACGATAAGCACATGAATGAGGGTGATTTGAAACCGTCAAAGTGTCCTCTATCTGCCTGAATCTTATGTACATTTGAGTCTGAAACACCCTGTATATATAGCCATATTTCTATTTTCAAAATTATATCCCTTTTCAATACGTCCACTCAATCAAGGGGTTCTAACTTGAACGATGGATACTAGTTCTTTTCATAGACCTTAAATCGCAGATTCGTGATAAGGTTTCCTCAATTCTGCATTTATTTCCACATCCTCTATGATTAAAATCACTTCACCATACATTCAAAAACAGGCTAGATAGGTGTTAGAAGAAGGATAAATCACTACTAAAAATTGAAGCGCGTCGCTGGCAAAAAAATTTAGCCAGTCCTTGCCATTTTCACGAATCTGACATTGAACATTTGAGTCTAGAGCTCAGATCTACAGCTAGACTCTAGTGGGATTGAAATTGACATATAGCGTGATGTGTTGACATCATCGTCGTTAACGTGAATTTGTTGAAATCGCACGAAGCATGGGGTACGAAGTCCATAGAATAACAGACTGGTCTGAATTTGACTTAGATTAGATCGTGAATATAATGAACTATCTATGAGAACATTATATCATGAATATAAAAAATTGTCATAGAAAGTCATAATGAAAAATAGCTAACACAAAGGACTCAATTGCTAGATGCAATTCCTAATGGCTAGATGAGCTCAAAAATGGCTAGAACTAGCCATAAAATGGCTGGGTTGGCAGCACTGGTGATATCGGTTGTTTCACTCGCAAGCAAAAATGAATTGATAGTGGTAACCTGGTTACATCCATACATGATTCGATTTGAGAGCCTGCTGGAAAAGTGGTTTGATACCTAGGCCTTGTGACGAGGTGGGTTGACACCCAGGCTTTCTGACAAGGAGACAAACAATTATGCTTTCTGGCGAGATAGAGCGAGCTCTGAAAAACATAAAATTTAGTCAGGATGGAACCGAGCTCGTTGGGCCGAGAGCGTCTCAATCTGAAGATCGCCGTATGTACATGTGCTGGTTCATTTGTGTTCGGCGACTGGTCGAACATAGAATCAGCATAATCCATGTTCATATTATAGGTGCTGGTGCTTATGTTCATTGAATAGTGATCATAAATCAACATACAGGGTATTTCGGAATTCAGTCCCAAGATTTCAGTTGCTCGTTTCCCAAATCATAATGAGACTTTCTTTCTATCAACATGTGTCCGCATACGCTTCCATACAGATCTACAGAGCGTTGAGATTTTTTCCTTCACTTCTTCATAGCTCGTTTGATGTTCAAGATCAATTTTGAACCATAGTTCACGTTTATGGAAGGAATTTGTTCAGGGGTCAGTTCCTTGATCGCTTCATGAAGCTTTGTGTGATGCGCCAGTTATTTATTTAGAGAAAATAAAAAGGTTTCTTGATCCATACAAAAACTTGTGATATTGATGCATCTGCGACCGCTATCAAGAATTCAATATTCTCTTGAATTCACTAGATTCAATTAACATTTTCAACAAAAAGGCGATTCCATATATCACAATCATTGAAATGAATACACTTATCATTGAGTTTGTGGTATCAATTATGAGTCTGCAATCATTGCCTGAAACACAGGAAACCTCACGAAATTCATCGTCCTATCAAATATACTAGAAGAGAAAAATATTGTCCAAACTTTAACGCCCTTCATATCGATACTGAAGCGTTTGCGGAAACATTCCTATGGAAGGAGAGACTTAATTTCGACTCGAACAATAAGTTTCGAAAATGTTGATACTTACTGAATTTTGAATCACCATGTACCTCTTCAATATAAGCTAGAAGGAATATTGGAGGATATGTTTCAAGTGTACTAGGAAAAGATTCTTGGACAAAGTTTTTCAAATTCAAAAATGAAATATCACTTACAGCAGGTATTGGGCATTTATCAGGATTCACCACTCCTAGAGCTGTAACGAGAGGGATGTATTGCTGCCTGTAGTAATTCATGCCAAATTCGCAAATGTTTCTGATTTTGGGGAGAAACAATAATTTTCTCCATCCCAAATCTGTTAGTTTTTCTACATGGATAATACACTGAAAAATGTCATTTTATTATTCCTACAGGATTCAAATGATGAATAATATAAACAATTTACTAGTCGAACATAGCTGGAAACTGATATCTATCAACGTATTCCCAATCATGAGGATACAATAGGTCACGACTGAAGGTGAGCTCTACCTCGCAATTGACTTATTGTGTTATTTCATTGCATTACTAGCAATTTCAGTGAAGACTCTCAGATCACCTCTTTTTTTTGTGAAATATGGGAAAAAGTACTTTCGATTTCTCAAGAATATACATGAATGTCTCAAGGAGGCGATCCATCTTCCAGTGGAGTGATGGTGTGATGAATAATAACCCTCATTGAATATCGAATTGTCCTCAGAAATTCTTCCTCAGGAACAAACACATCAATTGCAAGCATGAAGAGTCATGAAGAAATGAATAAATACTCTATATCTTCAAATAACTCAACATAATGATAACTAAATCACTGTTTTCCTAATAATCACTCGAAATATTGTAAATACAAAATGAATATTGGTAGCAAGGACTGAACCAGCGTTCCACGCCAAAGTTGATGATAGGTTCTGAATTTTGTTCATTGAAGATATTTGCTTAAACCCAGATGGTGAATGATTATAAAATATTATTTTCATGGAAGTTACTAGTTCTCTAAGACAAAACACTATTGAAATGTGATTCCTGAATTTATTCATATAGATAATGAACTGATTGCACGCATTGTCATCTTGATGAACGCATATCTCCCTTGTAATGGAATTCGAACTCATGATAGGCATCACTCTACCTTAAGCCACTGAGAATAAGTTATACGCATTAGAATCATCATGCACCATACTTTTCTTGGGAATACATCGACAGATTGGTGATAACGTATAATCAGTTCTTTGAATACCAATACATTAGTTCAATGCGGATTGTGATAGTTAATCCATTTTGTCACTTAGGATACTACTGCAGCCTCAATCATAACTGAGAACTTCTTGCGGAACAAATTGCGAAGTATTAATGATCGAGAAAGATACTCACGAAAATAATCCAACCTCGTGTGGTATCCTTTGAGAAATTTCATTTGATTCATTTGATTCTTATATGAAATGCTCAACAATTGAAACGTACCGATGGAAATTTCACTCTCATTCAAAACTGCATATCTTTCGAAGGACATATCTGAAGTCAAGTTTGATTCCGGTGTTTGTGTTCCTCAATGATATCGTGATTACATCAGATATTCCTCCTCATTTGTCCATTTTGATACGAGTCCTTCAGGAACTTCCAGATGCAGGGTTAACCCTGAACCGCGAATAATGTTGTTTTGCGAGACGAGCTCAAGTATTCAGGATATTTTGTCGATAGAAAAAATGTTTGTTACCGATACTGTTTATGTTGAATTATCCAAAGCCAGAGAATGTGAAAGATGTCCGTTAATCTATAGGAATGGTTTCATGGTATCGGCGATTAATACAGAATTTTGCTGCTCCACTCACCAACCTCACCCAGAAAAAATACGCATTTCAGGTGGAGTTTTGAAGGTGAAGAAGCCTCCGAGGATGTGAAGCAGTCTCTTGTGTCAACTGCTATTTTGACGTCTTTGATAGGCAGTGCGGCGCCTCTCAGATCGGTTTGGGTTGTGTGTTGACGACGAAGAGATAGTGATCTCGGATTCTAGTAGGGCTCTGAAGGTTCGAGAGTCCAAATATTCAACAACAGAAAAGGAATGCTCAGCGGTGTTATTTGGTATAAAGAAATGCCGTCCTCATATTGGAGGATCGTATTTCAAGGTGACCACTGACCATTACTCTATGTTGTGGCTATATTGGTTACATAACCTCTCAGGAAGACTAGCATGGTGAGATATACGCTCACAGATATATGATTTTGAATTCTTCAACCGAAAGGGTGAGTTGCATGTCGTCCCTGATGCTTTTTCCCGTGCCATCGCCCCTATCGTTATCATTGAAAATGGTAAGGACCGCTGGTACACCCGTTTACTAGGGAATGTAGAGCTCGACCCCAGGGGTTACCCCAAATTCGAAATTGTTAATGAATATAGATTCGTGAACTCAAGTCATCCTACTCATGATGAGGGTGATGATAGGAAGCAGGTTGTTTCAAAAGACCTTCGGTCGCAGGTAATGCAGAAAAGTCATAACGTGTATAAACTGTTTTTTTTTATGATCGATGTCAATTCGGTTCGTATAGAAGATATTGTAATGAGGTGAAGTAATTATCAATTTTTCCTTCATACGTGATGGTGTGATTAGATTGAAAGGATTGATAGCATCAGCGACTGCTTCTGTTTCGGAGGGGAGCCACATCACTCTGCATACGTCGTTTTCGAATATTGAGATCACGGTAAGTAATTCTTTTAGTCAAGATATAAAAACGTTAATTTGCTCGAACGCATTAGCAATATGTCGGTTGAGGAGTATAAGTTGTGAAGATTTGTAGGCAACACAAGAAATTTCACGTATATAAACGAATAGTTGCCCGAATATTCTTCTGAGGTATCGCCAAACTGCTGGAAATTGTCAATGAATGAGTGCGATATCTTGGCACAATTGAGGTTTGGATCGTAATCTTCGATTTCTAGTGTTGAGATTTCGGCATTGGAAAATATGCGTTCAATCATCAATCAAAATACTATTCCAAGTTTCAACATTGATTCGTCATTTTTGTGTTTGTATAGGCCAGTGTGTTCGATAGCGATACTATCGTAATTAAGTGGATGGTGTTTATGCCCGAGTACAAAGCAAACAAACCGTTAGAATCCTCGGTCATAGCGATGACTTCGGAAATTTTGTTGGAAGATGTGTAGAGAATGAAATACCGATTGATTTCTAACATTTCAAGACGTTGATTCTGATGAGTACCTCATAGAAGATCAAACTTTTTTCATGCAGATTGAGTAACAAAATCAATTAGTGAATGGATAGATCGATGGAAGGTCCATCACACGTGATGATGGTTATAGTTTCCAGCACATCACATATATATTATTTTTTGAACAAAGTGATTGACACCTTTATGGACGTGATTCCATAGGCTTAGATGAAGAGTATATTATATATGAAAGCAATTTTGCGTACCAACCTATTTTTTATTGATTTTGGTTGTTGAACAGTGTTATTACCATTCGTTCAACGACTTTTATTCTAACTTAATATCTAGAATACTTCTAGGATCGAATCTCAGAATTAAAAAAATACCAATGTTCGTAACGAACATCATTGAATTCATGAAAATCAGAAATCTGTTCTTGATAACTCAGTGCAATCAACTCATTTACAATTCAGAAATGATCATATTCATTTCATCCTGAACAATCTCAGTTGATAGTGAATTTTCCTCAACGAATCCAAATTTGGAGAGCTATTCAACTCTTGAACTCTGTCAAAAAAATCATCGATAAAAAAAATCTCTTCAGTTTCACAAAATACAGATGAGTACACCTGAATCACCAGGGTTTCGGACTGAAAATCGTATTCAGATACCAAGTTACTTTCCGCAAAAAAAACGTATCCATTCTGAGGAAACTCTTCAAGCAATGAAGTTTTGGTATGATTATTGTTGAGAACAGTTTCTTCTTCATACGGGAGACCTTTTGAATTTGGGCAGGTCGACAAACTCTCATTGATCACCCTGTGATAACTCAGTTACAGAGAACTAGATAGAAAATGAATGGAATCGGTTGTGTCCTTCGAAAGTTATACAGTTTTATGAACAAATTCAGTTTGTGTCGCAGTTCCGATAGATAATAGAGAATTAGGTTATTATTCTTTCCTTGAAACTTCGAGAAATTCCCCATTTGATTCGCTGTTGGGTACCATCTGGATGAATACTACGTTGCATTGGTGATTTCCAGAAGAATTATTGGGTAAAAATAACTGGTATAAAATTCTTGAAGTAATTTTGCTAGCTTCCACTCAGAGCGATGGCCACAGTGATTTTACTAGTTGGCACAATAATTCACGATAGCAAACCTCTTCACGACTCTTGTTGCTGCTATAGAATCTATATATCGTGGTTTAGTCACCTCAAGATTTTCGTCGATCGGTCTTTTGAATGTAACATCATAGCTCAGGAGTTTCATAGTTCTATTAAAATGTGTTATTTTTAGGTTCACCAAAGGAGTTTCAACAGCCTTATAAGGTTCTTTACATGCGCCAACTCTCTCCATGAATATCGTGTTCGAGACAGCAGGTTCCTGAAAAAAAAATCCAAGTACTCATCCCAGTATTCGTCTCTGAGATGATTCCGGAAGTGAATGTGAATATTTCACAAACAATAAAATTTTCACAAAATTCCACACGATAGCTTTATCAGAAGAACTCAACTCTATCGCCGGCCCAACTTGTATTTTATCTACAGACAGTATTTGTATATTCTGCTTTCCCAAACCTAAAAATAAGGAGAAGATAATCGGATTAACCTGAAAGGGTTGATAGATGATATCACCTTCTAAAATACGGATTCATTAGCGGTGAATTATTGAATTTACTTGATCGTTAAGTGAGATTTTGATTTTGTTGATTTCTAATGACAAAACATGATTGAGTGTTATTCCTCAATTTCCTACGTGTAGAACTTCGGAATCATCATCGAAACCATGGTTTCCTTCTGATATATGATTCGCGTATATTCAGCTACATTTCTTTATGAACAGGACTCAAAAGTTGCCTTTAGAACGGATAACACGTTGGAAAGGTTCATCAAGAACCGGGATATACAAACTCAACTGTGGATCTTGTCCAGGAGTATAATATATCGGTCAAACAGGTCGTACGTTTGATCAATGCATTCATGATTATGAGATGCATTTTCTGAGAAATTGAACGATTCCATCAATTTTTTCTTCTCGGAATTTTACACTTAGAACATGTGGGAATGAAACTGAAACAAACGCAAACATCTTGACATTTTACTTTACGATTAACTTTACCTCAATTACTCACCCCTGTCGAATTAGTTTTCTTTGTATAGGTGATAATATATATTTGTTATCAACCTTTTCGAGTAAATATGGAACACCGTATTTGAATGTAAACATTGTGACTTTCGTACACAAAATGACGGTTTATCGTACCTTTCCACAGATTATTTTGATCCTTATGATTATGAAAGTAGGATATGAAAGTAAGACAAGCTAATGTGGGTTCAGTTTTTTATATCAGTATTCCAGCTGAACAAGCTACTATGTTGGCGAAACATGTCGTGTGACAGAAATGTTGTGGAAATATGATCGTTTGTGAAGTTTCCACATTCACTACAGATTTCATTGAAGTTACGGCCAGGACTATTCAAAATTTGTTTCTCAATGGCTCAGTGAATATTGCAGAATATCTCGATCATACTTTACATCATGTTGCGCAACATTCTCACCAATCAACAGTGTTGCTCAGTTTCGGCGTTTCATGTACCACAGTCAGATGAAGTCATTCAGATATGCATTCTGATTATTAGAGTTCTTAATTTTTCAGGAAAAATCAGGCCGTTTCGATGAAATAAAATGATCAACATTGATAATGTCCTGGTGCAAGATATAACCTTGAGTCGAAGAAGATTACCTCACGAATTTCACAATCAATCTGAAATCGGTTTCCATCAATGTCTAGCCTACTCTTGGGAAAGTTGGAGTTGAATTCCGATGTGGTTGTCACCTTTCCATTTGAGCATATATTTTTATCATCGTTCTTGACCTGTATCCTGATGATTGATGGTTCCTCATATGACAAAATTATTCAGTATTCATGTCAATTACTCAGAACATATAACTTGTGGAGATATTATTCTCGTCATCCAAGTACACTGTGGTTTTTCATATTTCTCATTATTATCTCCCCTATTCTCGAAATTTCATTTCATGACATGATCGTTTCATTCTCCTTTCAGTTTTGTCTGGAGAGTGTTATATGCTCAGTGTGTGTTGAGAGCTCAAGTACGCAATGCATACATCCATAGTACTATCAACGTTTGATTCACCCTTCGGCAGACGTGAAGAAGAAAAAGGCAGACGTGAAGGTTGAGAAGATAACCGCAAAATTGACCGACGTGATGAATACATTTTTCAGAAGTGTACATGGTTCAATTTGTGATGAAATCATTCTTCGATTACTACCAAACATTATGTTATAACCATGTTTCGTCTTTTACAGAAATTTCAAATGTTTCGTGATACTGTCCAGTCCAGAACTGTTACATCGATCCTCTTCAACACATTAATAATCATCCTTGAATAGTGTTAGTATCATTCGATCGATCATCAATATTTTAGTCAATGTACACGAGTCAATTTTTATTTGTAGTCGCCCTTCAAATTCAATGGAATTTAAGTCACAGAATACTATGTTTATATTAGTTTCGACTTCATCTCCTTGTTCAGTATTGAGATTCCTTTATGAAACTCATGACTTTTATCTTCGATATTACTTATTTTTCCTCTTATGAAAATTTCTACCAATCTTTTAATTTCCCATGAAAGCTTCAGTTCCTCTTATCCTAACTTACCAAATTATGAAATGGTAGAGATGATGGACACGATCAACGGGTTACGAGTTACGATTGATATATTTAATGAACAATGAAAGAGGAGGATGAGTAATGCAGTGTCCTTTTCTCTGACACAAGGTAAATGGCAGCTCTGGGAGGAATATGAATTTCTATTCATATCACTAAAGATCCCTGACAATTTCTATCATGAAAAAAATTTGAGAATCCTTCTCAAATTTCCTACTGAAGAATCTAACCCTTCCAAATTATCAGAAAAAGTCAATGATGTAATATATTTGAATCTGAAAATGATGAATTCTAGATGAGTTTTAGTTATATTGACGCTTGCAAACACATTCGACATATTCAGTTTGTTAAGTACGATCTTGCTTGAACAAAATAACACTATAATTTCCATCATTCTATATGATAGAGGCACCTTATAGTTAATTATGTCCATAAAAGCATGTACCGCCCGAAATTCATACACGAACGGTATAATTGATATCTCATTCAGAATTCCTATTTGCTTCCAGAATGATAAAAAAACCTCATGACTGCATTGAGAAATATCATTCGTGGAATCAACGTTACCAAAGTAACACAGCTTATTTTTTGAAATAAAAGAAGACTATCATATTTGTTGTTAATCAATGTCATCACAGATCATTCGACGTTTACGTTTATCAACTGTTGATATCGAATTGAATATCGATTTTGAATCAATTTGGAGAAATAATGTATGGCATGAAGAGAGACCGAATGGTAGTCTACTTGAAATAACAGGAGAAACATTGAAATTACTTTACCTCCCGATCACCTACTTCAATGCTCGCCGAACTACTTCACCATCTGCTGTACTCGTTTATCGCCCTAGGGCGCTGTGTGTGAATCCAGGAGATGAAGTGTCACTTCATAATATATATATTTGAATATTCACATCAATAACATGATCTCTCTTCTAGTATATTGTTTTTCTTTCGAGATGGACTTCTATCAATTGTCAATTTATGTTGATACTATGCAAACTGTCGTCGTGAAAGGAATACTTTTTCAGGGTGTGGAAAATTGAAGAGTTAATGTGTTCAAGCCTGTCCGTTCCTGGTTATACAAATGAACCAAATGTGTTCAAAAGGGTCAATTACACGAAGATTCATTTGGTAACCATCGTATTCAAAAATAATCAAATTAGGAACTTTGGAAGTTATTATCCGAAGAGAGAGGTCGTAGACAAAATGTTCAGGAACTTTTCACATCAATTTTGAATATTCAACCTGGAATCAGGAGTAAAGAAAGCGAGTCAGGTTTCTTGAGCATGAATAAAATAAGTCGAATAAAATAGATAGTTCTTCAACATGAAATTCTCATAAATTCGTAGGAGCCCCGTTTCTAATATTTAGGCGGTGTGATATTTTTATATATTTGATCGTGTTTTCGGAGTTTTGTCAGGAAGAATCATTCGGAAATCTGATGGAAGCTTCTGATCACTCTTGATCTAATAGTCGATTATCAAAAAATGTCGAATCTATAGTGTGTTCGTGGAATTGAGTTCCATTATAAGTGAATTATGTTTGCATTGATCTTGAATCCATATAGTTTCATCGGGTGTATCAAAATAAACGAGACATTTTTAAATAACTTCTCATTAAAAGGAGAAAGAGCACGTTGAGGAGTTTGAGGAAGATATATTCAATTGAAACTGCTAACCAAAAGAGTTTCACTCTGGAAGTAATCGAAAAACAATGGTAGTATTAACTATAAAATTTTTGGAGTGTAGTAATAGAATAGAATTCCAATCCATCATTCTGCAAATTGTTTCGGTAAATTTGAGAAATATCAAGGAATTCATCACATCCTGAGGACACGTGTACTCCAAGCTCATAAAAATATAAAAATATTATTTAAAGAAAAATTTGCTGTTGGGGTCCTGCGGTGGAAAACTGACTCGCCCTTTTAGAATCATCGGAAAAATACTCATTTTTATTTCCAATAGTAGAATGACTGTTCGCTTTCAGAACAACTCTGAGTATCGTCAACTGCGAGATGCTACGGATATACACTGTGTCCAAGATAAGAATGAACAGCATGAGGATTTTGGAAACGGTAGGAAATACAAATTTGGTTAGGTCAGAGAAAAGTAGCGCATTTATGTACCTAATAATATGCCATACACAGAGTTATAATATTACGAGTAATTCCGGAGATATCCGAGACGAACCGAAATTTGGGAATTTCGTTTTTATTTTCTTCCAGCTTCATTTTTGAAGAGAATGTGAAACAAATAGCAGTTTGCCATGACCATTTTGCAAGGACTACATGATAACGTGAGCAGAATTTTTCTTTGACGTCTTTCAGAAAACATCATCAACTTTGTATTATTAAATGAGCCTGAAATGAAGTTCAACCTGTATACGACTCCATTTTTTATTGTGCATACAGCAACGTATCACACAATATGATTTCAGAACAATTTCCCGAACAAAATAAAAAGCGATTACTTAACCTGTTTTTTCTCAATTTAAGATAAAAGGTGCTGGAAAAAATGACATATTCTAATACATGAAGTAAATCTTCGAGTCTGATTTATACAAGTATAAATTTAAACCTTCCACTTGTCAGAATTTTTGCGTTGCTGAGTGCAATATCAAAAGTTCAGTTTGTAAATGTACTTTCAATGTAATGACAAGGAGCTGATATGTATCACAGGAAATAAACAGAAA